GAGCACAAGCACATGTGTTTAGAGGTGTGAAGAGACCCAAGTGAAATGCAGTGAATCCTCAATCAACACATTCATCCACACATGACAAGCACTCCCTGCTAACTGTTGGGTGACATTAGAAATGAAGTGCAGCACATTGTTGCTCAAAGTCAACGGTGAGAGCCTGCTGCAGCTTTGGTTTGGTAGGCCTGCCAGAGGTTTGATGTCAACAAGCCATGCGGGCTTGCAACGACAAGCATTCAAAGAAATGCAGTATGCCTGGCATCTCAGCGCTCCCGCCAAAAGTTTTCAAGGGCAGGCATCCAGGAATGTACCTGCAGTGATTTTTATGACATCGACAAATTTTCGCACAAAGATGAGCACAGAATGCACAGTGCTTGCATTTCTGTGTGCAGCCTCATCTCTTCAGTATCTGTCATCCATCACCATACAGTGGGGCGGGCATCAGTGGGGTCGCTCCATCTCATCCCGTTCTGCAGAGCTACTTCTCCATAGCCATAACAGATGGCCAATGATGCGCAGATGTGCACACATGCCATCCAAGGACCTGAGAGGCATCAGGGCTTCTGAAGCAGGTATCACGCGCCAACGGCACCCTGCTTTTGCGCAGCTCCCCGCCGCAGGGCTCGTGCCGACGCGGTGCCGTGCTGCGCCACCGCAGCTGGCCGGCGACGGCCACGCACAGCGCGCTCGCAGGCTCGTTGCACTCCTCACCCACCTGGCACCTCTGGCGCCCCGGTCTGTCGTACGCGCACAGGCTCTGTGGGAAGTGCCCGCTGTCGATCGTGGCGGACCTGCGGCGGCGAGGCGGACGGCTCAGCACGTCGGCGACCAAGCTGCCATTCGGGACTCCGATGGCGACACACTTGGCGTTATCAGAGCACGCGGCAGCTGCCGTGCATTCACAGCATCCGCCTCCGATCCGGTCCGCACTTTAGCAGCATGTCTCCCCAAAGGGGTGGGGGGGTGGGGGGATGGGGAAGGGGCAATTTGAAGCATCCCATTTCCCGCCCATCGAGTCTCCCTCTCACCCTGCCCCCCCTCCCCATCGCCATCACTATCAACCAAACGCAAATCTCCCCACCCAACCAGGGCCATCCCGGCCCTCGGCCCCCACCTCAAGTCCCCCACCTCCCACCACGCAGGCACGCTGCCCCCCCTCCCCCGTGCAAGCAACGACAAGATGGCAATATGAACATCCCACCCAGCCCAGGCTCGCGGCCCCCAGCCGCTCACCACTCCCCCAGGCCCTCCGACTCCTCGCCCGCGCCGGACCGGGCCTTGCCGCCCCTCTTGCCCCGCCGCGACTTGCGCCTGGCCGGCCAGGCCAGCATCACGGCTCCGCCCACGCCCTTTCGCACGCCCAGGCCTACGCCGCGGAACGCGAAACCCACGCCCCGGCGCAGCAGGCGCAGGGGCTGTAGCGAGCGGACCATGGCTGCGGGGTGCACCGCGCGGCGCGCAACGCCCGCGGGTCCCCCAGGCCCGTGGAGCGACAGGGCACGGAGGGGGGCAGGTGGGGAGGCAGGGCGGCACGTGGGCTCCTGTTTGTGGAGGCGCAAGCGTGGACGTGGGGTGGGGGCTGGCGCACATGGAGGGTGAGGGCCATTCGCGCGTTACGCAGCCAGGAGGGGGAGCGGCGTAGGAGAAAAATGTGTTGGCGCTGTGCTTGTCCTCAGTGACACCAGGGATGGGATTTGGCACGCCAAGGCGGGGCCTGGGCTGACGATGCATCAGCTCCCTGTTTCGCCCGAGGATGGCAGCGCCCATGGGTTGGTCAATGAGAACCCAAAATGATTCTGCAATTGTTCGGGTCGCCAATTAATGGGGTTCATCAAAAAAGTTAGTGCATAAATGATATCACGCAGCTGGCGACCTGTGAGGTCCAGATATGGTGCAGAGGGGATGTCGACAGCCTCAACACCTTCGCCATACTGAAAATCATCCAGTAGGTTAGCGCGCAATGAGGCAGAAACCCCAAAACATCAATCAGGGGTGCTCTATACATACCCCGAATACGCCTGCGAGTACTGAGGAACACCCAGGTTGCCACTGGACACGTGCGTTTGTTCAGGGGCAGCCCGCCTAGCGGCCACCCGTGAATCGTGGCGAGACGGATCCAGGAATGGCGCGTTGAGGCGCCACGTGATTGTTTGATGGGAATATGCCCCATGGGGCATTACATGGTTGCTGACCACGGGAAGTGTGGTTGTTTGGTGGGACTGTGGCCCTTGGGGCACACGTGGTGGCTTATTGTGGCCAGTGGCGCGTCTTCGGTTGAGCTGTGGTGAAGCGGCGGGCCTGTCAGAAAGATTCTGGGTATCAAAAGAGCATCTCTTAGGAATGGGTGGTATTTGCCGGAGGGGTGCGGACAGCGCCGTGGGGAACTCTCTATTGTTGCCCTCGGCCTGGCAGCTGTAAGAACGGTTGCGTGGGGTTCGTGTGTCTCTCTCGCGGCAGTCTAGGCACTCAGCCTGGCTGCCTGACTCCCCTGGCCGTGTGCGCAACGTTCGCCACAGCCTGGGCGCAATAGCGCTCGACCTTTTCGAAGGTCGCGGCCAGTCTGTGCCTTTCCGAGCCGCTTTCCTTGGCGCTCAAGACCAACAGTGCCAGCGCAGTCGTGCTGCTGGCCAGAAGTGACCACCCTTCGTCGCTGCACAGCCTTGTCGAGGCGGAGAGAAGTGCTTCCCGTATCATACACTGACGTGCTGTGGACAAGGCAGACCTGACCCGTGGACCCGACCTCCGTTTTGACTTCGTCGACCGTTGAGGAGCGGTTGCGACCGGTTGGGGCGCTCTGAGCGGCAGCTGCAAGAGGTTCTACAAGCGTATTTGCATGGCTGGCTGGCAGTGGGGGTTTTGCTTTCTGTTTGAAGCTTCCCCTTGCCGTCGCCTCGGTTTTGTTGGTGGTGTCGGCGTGCCAAGCAGTTCTTCGTGAAGAGCCGGTTCGCGCGAGGGGCGCAGCTTGTTCGTTGAGTGCACCCTCAACTGCTGTGGTGCTGAGGCTGTCGGCATGTCTCAGCTGCCCGTTTGAGGGCGACTTTACTGCGCTATCTCCGGGGACGACGGCCAGAATGGACCGCCGTTCTTTGCACAATCTAATAGTGACCAATGAGCTGCATCCATTAACACTCGGGAATTCGTTGAGCTCCGGTAAAATCACCCGTGCTTGATCCCATTGTCTGCAATTACTGAGCATGAGAACGCTGTATGTCCTGAAGCTATGTTTCCTGCGAACGAATGTCATGAAAAGGGTTGATGAAGGATGGCGAAGACACTGACGACTATTGGGGATCGACGGTTAACATTCGGGCTCCGAGTAGGAGGCGATCCCATCAATTTTAGGCACCACCCATGGCCCACTCTTACCCTGTTTTTTCTTCCCCAATTCCCCGCCCTAGTGCGTGATATTTGGCTTAGTTGTTGGATGGAGAGGGCTTCACATCCGGGAAGTAGAGACTGACTCAGGTGGGTACAATTCAGTGATAATCTCGGGCCGTTAATAGTGATGGTCACCACGCAAGATTGGAAATGTAGCGTCTGTGTCATGTGTGGTCATGTGGGGTAGTGGAAGGACAAGCCCATCCTGCCCACCCATTGATGCCAGGTTCCATGCTCAACTGCCTTGTCTTCGGGAATACGTGCAAGCGAGGGCACGACAATTCCAATCGGTGGAGATGAACCTTACACCGTGCCTGCTCTTCTGTGCAAACGCCTAGGCCCAAAGAGTGTTCCAGGGCCTGCAGAAAACGTGGCTGCATGGCGCGAGTGTCTTAGGTAGTCCTGTATGGCCTGCTGGGCAGAGAGCCAAGAGGCCAGGCACTGAGCAGTGACAGTGCGATAAGAAATCAGCACGCAGCATCCCCTAGCCATATGGGGGTTATGCGATAGGGTCCACAGAATTCGGGCACAGCATACTTGCGAAAGTGAAACTGTTGCCGTGTCCGCTGCAAGTGGAAGACACGGTGGGCTGCCTTTCAACAACCCTGTGTGTTCACTTATGGGAACCTGTTGGAGTCTTACTTTGTCAATTTCGATGAATCCAACTCGCATGGATCCACGTTCACAGGCGCATGATCTGGTTCAAACACACAAGAGGAAGACAGGTTGACATGGCATGTGCATGAGCGGGCAGTCGGGTGTGGAGGGAACACCCTGTGACAGTGTGACGACTGGCGTCTTTGCATCAGAATCGTGCGTTTCCCTCCATCGCTGCCCATTTGCGGCGTGACCCGATCGACCAAGTGTTGGACACGCCAAGGAACTCCAGCACACAGCGTGACGGTTCCAAGGTGCTGATCTCCCTTGAAAAGCGACCACGTTCCACAATGCCAAATTGCGGTTTACATTTCGAAAGGAGGTGAGTCACGCTGCTGCACAGGAAATATTGTACAAGCCCCACGGCTGCAGGTTAATCGTTATTTCCCAAGAAGTGAACGCCATCACGCAGCAACCCCATCCTCTTGCCACAGCGTCGAACGACCCCCAAATAATATTGACACAAAGTCTTAAGACCATACCCCGCCTGTGCTATCTACATCTCTGCCCCCCACACTTGGCCTCCCTTGGGCTGCGACCCGCCCCTCGCCACCACTGCATTCACGTCCGCCGCGCAGAGCACATACAACAGATTTTGAGCGTGCCAGGGGCAAGACGCCCCTGCATCTTGCCCCGGAGCTACATTCTACCAACTACCAAGACGCAGCTTCACTGTGTCCAGCAGCATGGTCCTGAGGCGGCTTCAGGTGCACCTTGAATCGGTGGTGAGTGGGAGAGGAGCCCCACCCACAAAACAAGGCCTCAGCCTGGACCAGCAGGCCAGCAGACAGGGTGGTGTGGGAGGAGCCCTCTGTTCGGCAGGACGTGAGCTGGAAGGTCCCCTTCTGTCGGGCCTGCACGACCATCCGCAGGGGCTTGACCTCTAGCCAGATAGGGATGACGTGAGGCGATTCCCTGCCCATGACCGTCAGCAAGCATGCACAGTCCCCATTATTCTCAACGTCCAACATGTGCATGTCCCCGTGGCCCATGCGGAAGCCTGGGCATGCTAATCGGACCGGCACCTGCACCTGCTCCCCAGCCGCATCCTTCAGGACTCGGAAACACTGGGCACGCTTTCGCTCCTGGTTGTAGACTGGAAAGTCCATGGCCAGAAGGCACCAAACAGGCTTGTGGTCGGAATCGTTGATGTCCATGCATGCTTCATACGCTTCGCTTCGAGCAACAATCTGGTCTGGCTCTCGGGAATCAGATGCCTCTTGATTGTCTTGCTGGTGGGAGCCATTTGTGTGGCCCTCTTCTTGCCCTTCATCATCCCCTAAACCCTCGAAGGGTTTGGACCCACGGAAAAAAATCCGGTCTGTCCATGCTGGCACACGTTGCTTGTCACTTGTATCATATGCCAGTGGCTCACTCTTATTCCTGTCAAATTTATATGTGGGCTGAAAGCTGATCGACCCCTCCCGCAAACCATGGAACACCTTCTTTCTTCGCATCTCCCTTCGACACTGATCGCTTGCCAGCAGTTCCCTGTAATCACCCTTTTGTTCGATTGCCCGCTCAATTTTCGTCACAGTATCTTGCCTTGAAGACTCTTCAAGGCGATAGTTAAAGTCCCCCATCCAGACCACGCATTCTGCCCTCTGGTACCCCATGCTCAATGCCGGCTCTTCATGATCTTCCAGTTCTGGAGAAGCATTGACTGAAGCAGCACCACCTGCCCCCTGCTCGCCAATGCCCTTGTAGAAACTGAGGTTCTTCACAATGTCTCTGTAATTTGCATTGCGCTTCCTCACAGCTTCCTGACAGCAGGCGAACCAAAAGCACAACAGCTTTCAGATGTCAAGCTTAGAAACACAAAAATGCTGCTATCCTGCTGACACCCAGTAACCTGCTTGTTGCCAGTCCTGGCTGCATATTGGTATGACTGAAAACAAAAAGGTTCACAGAAATTGTGCCGCCAGTAGTCATACGAACTACACAACAGGAGAAGATGCTGCAGCTTTAAAACAGCACACGGTTCTTCATCAGATGCATATCCTATGGCCTGGTGGAATCAGTAAGTGTGTGTGGATGCAAGCCTGCCTGTGTGACATAATGTTCTGCACAAAATGACTTCCTTTCCATTTCCTGTCGGAAACATCCTTCGAATTACTACCATTCATATCTGCTTAAAGCAGCTGAGAAGATGGCTGAACAGGTGCCTTCGCATCTTCTAATCAAGATTGGCACCCATCCCTCCCAACTCCGAGCATGCATCGTGGCATGCAGTAAGGCCGACTTCCACAAGTGAATATGAAGAAATGCGCAGCAGGATTGGCAGCAAATTCCGTAAGTATGTGGGACATGTGGTTTCTATGAGCAGCTTCAAAGGGTATTCTTCACAAGCACCGAGTGTCAGCAAATGATAATCCTACAATTCCTGGTCACTATATCCTTTAACACTGAATGTCAGCATTATCAATAACTTCGAGACACAATCTATGCTCTCAGCAACTCCACTTGGGTGTGGCTCTCAGTCGTGGGGTTTCAAGCCAGATATACCGATAGTGTATTAAACCCTTCCACATAGTACTGTAACGCTGGGTCCCTTTTCACAGAGCTGTGAACAAAAGTGTAACAGTGGTGGAGGGAAATGCAGAGCAGCCGATTTACTAATGCTCCAGGCAGCTTCGGGAGATCAACCCTCAGCGCCGTTAGGTGCCAGCGCTGCACCCAAAAGGCGTCTGCAAATCGCCCCTGCTGTGGCTAGTCCGCCCCCAGCCGCAATGCGAGAGTCTCTGGACTTCCCACGGCGTCTGGCAGTCTCGGATGCACTAGTCACAACCAAGTTCCGTGGCTAATAGCAGTGCAGAGATGGGCAGCCAAGAACATTTTGGGACGAAAATGCGGAGCCAAACCATAACAGTCCCTGAGGACTGATGCGAAAGGGTTGAAATGTTATGGTAGGCAGGGCTGGGTGCCAGATTTCAGGCCAGCCATGTTATGGCTGCAGAAAACACTGTGATGTTGACGTTGCCACATCAACTCTCTGGACATTTTCATCAATGCACACCTGATGAGCTGCAAAATGCGACGAGAGGGCAACCACTCGACGACGGAGAAGTGTGAAAGCCACTGCCACAGCACCCTTGTTTCCACCAAATCCCCCCACTCCGCAGGCCACTGAGGCTGTTGCCACGTTCCCCAAGTATTGCATGAGCTTGTTCCGAGCAAACACAATGACAAATACCCCAGACATCTGCCGCATGGCAACTTTGCTCCAGCAGCTCTCCTCCCCTTCTGATTTGAGGGCGTCTAGCAATTCGTTCGCCCACCACTGGGCATTGGAATTGCCCTTTTCCTGCAAGAACAGAAGTTGTGAGCCCCTTTATGTGCAACTGTTTATTGCACAACTTGGACAGTGCACAGTGCCAAAGGGATGGAAACTTGGATGGGCATGTGTGCTCCATTTGTATTCTGACCACCACAACTCACAGTACATGACCAGTTGGAATTGTGCCCTGGTGGCTTAACTGCATCCCCAGTCAATCACGATGCTGAGTATGAATGAAAACTCAAGAAGACATTCATAGGCATAAGGTACATCAAGGCTGTTGTTTGACTTGGGAAGTTCGGACAACCACAGGTGAGCAACTGAAATTGACAGGTATTGCACCTTTTGATCTAAGCCAAGAAAAGCTGCACAGGGTTGCTGGAGTTGTCGTCCAGGTGGCCCAAAACAACTGAATCGTGGCCCAAATGGTGATCCAGGTGTAACAGAGCAAATCCCCAACCAGGCACTGATGCCAACTGCCTCTGCATCAAAGCTGGGAATGTCATTTGGTGGCAACGCCAACAACAACACCAAACCGCAGTACAGTAGCACAGCTGTGCAGAACTACCTTGGGACATTGAACAAACACTGACTGAGTGTCTTGCGCCCTGCATCGCCTGCAAGGTGCAGGGGCTCCGTTTCCTCTCAATTTAAACCAACTATAAATACACGGGATCTCACTTACCCCAGCAATCAGAGTAGAAAACTGCAGAAACCACCAAGGAAAAACAAGACAACGTCAAACATGGACCCTTGCGCATAAGGACAACACCCATGTTCCCCAAGTTGGCAAAAGGGCGTTGGTACGTTGTGCTCTGGCGAATGTTGTCAAATAGAAACTGTGCAGAATCGGATGCAGAACAGGTGCGTCGCCCCCAACCTGCAGCGCTGACTTTGAGATGAAGTCAATGGCAACACTGCGGGCCACACTGCCTGTCCCCATTTCCACTTCCTGCAGACCAACGATGATGATGTCCGCCTTGTCTGCTTTGCCGTTTCCTCCAAGCCAGGCTCGCAGGGACGTCTTCAATGGCCGCATCTCATTCACATTCCAGGAGCCACACAGGACTCGGACACTGTGCAAGTTGATTGTGTCTGCCATGGACGTCTTCCACATCTTCCAAGCCTCTGGATCTGCCACAGGGTTGGGTATCTCACGGCTCCAGCCTGCGGTGTTGCAAGCCAACATGTCAGGATGGAAGGGGTGGAGGCCTCATCATCAACATCTACAACAGAGCAGAGTGGCATGCTGGCAGGCCATCAAACATGCGTGTAGGCCATCAGCGAGAGGGTTCTCACTTTAGCAGGTGCTGGCAAAGCAACAGAATCCAGAAAATGTAATGGAAATCAGTGCCCAGTGAGTGCAGTAGTGGGAATTTGAAACGGCAATCCCTTCATTCCAAGCTGAGCGATATACAAGAAACAGGTCACTCACAATATCATTGACAATTCACGGGACCAGGTACAAGAACATGCTTCCACACAGAGGCACAGAGCCTGCAACGCACATCTGATGGCACCATCAGCAGCCAATGTGTACACAAGACTCCCCATCGCCACCATGCTACAGACACGACACTCGTGGGCAGGCCACTTGAACATCTCCCTCTTGACGTCAGAAGCCAGAACCATTATGGTGCCATCCCTGAGGGCGACCCACATGCGGTCCCCCACTGCGCAGAGGCATGCCACTGGCTGCAGTAACCACCGACTGCCCAGATTGCGGCCATTTTGGGTGTACTTTTCAATGAGGCCGCTCTTGTAGCCCACCCACATCATTCCCTCACCACCACCCTCGCCAGCCTGGGCCACCAATGCCTGTATGGATCCGACACGTTGCACATTTATCCCACCCACCGCCGCAGCAGGCTGCAGAACACATAGACAACGGTCAGGGACGAGATTCATAACATGGAGCACTTGAATCGAGACTTCTCCTGGGGTGCACCTGTCTGGTGAGCAATACAACAGGTTGAACAGCAGCAGTTCATGCGGTCCTGGCAACATACACACAATTGAAATTGACACAGCTGACACTCGACAATGCCATGGCATCAGGGAGCTAACGGCTCCCTTGGGCCCTCTTCAATAGTGCAAGTGGCAGAATTCCCCTCTTCACTGATCAGAGTGGCCCTCTCACAGGGCGTTCTTGTAGCCCAAAACCTACCATTCGGAGTACTTGGGTTCCCGCTTTCTTGCCTATCTTCCCTATGAATCTAGTTATGTTGACCACTCTGCCACCCTTCTTGTCAGGTGGCAGCTCACTCGAGTCAGCGGCTGTGCGTGCCCTGAATCTTGTGCCACCTACAAAACCCTAAACAGCACAAGCAAATAAGCAGAGCTACCTCGAGTACCAAGCACCAAGCTCCACACTATGTTCCACACTGTAAATTTGACAAACGACAACAGCCAACTGGACAACCTGCCCTGTTCTGAACAGCCCCATCGAATGACATCCATTTCCAACTTCAAGTCAATGGTCACATATCCGAGTTTGTGCTACGAGTCTGATTCCCACACCAGCGCCTTCTACTGCCATGTATTACCCTCCCCTGGTGATGCTTGTAGAGTTGTTCCTAAAAGAACCTTTCAAGCAGTGTGTGCAGTTGACTAAGGAAAGCGGAAATGGAGCTGGCTTGCCCTTCGATTGAGAAGAACCTGACCATCAATATCTAGACTTCACACACGTACAACAATCTGTTCCATATAAGCAAATGCAAAATCGATGAGCCAGATGCTTTGCCTTGGAAACCACATTTTCTGGTGCAGATATTCATGTATACTTGAATTCCTTGGATTCCAGGCTGCAAACTGAACACAAGGAACTCGCAAACTAGAGCATATCAACAAAGAAGTTGCAGCCTATTCACATGTATTAAGAGATAGCAGCATTTCTCCACAGATATGCGGCAACAACAAGAAAAGAATCGTGTTCATGTTGTTTTCACGTTCAGACGCGTGTAGTTAGTCAGGCTGCTGTCGTTGAGCTGCGACAAGTAATCTAATAGATGGGATCTGCGTTCCAGGATGTGCATCACATCCCCTAGCCCTATCCAAAAGTAGCCCATAATTTACACCAGACATTTCCACAATGACAAGACAATACCTGGCAAAATGGTGCTGAGAAGAATGATTCATATTATCAACCAGCACCCGAAGTTGTGCAGCCCAAGAAAATGTTGCCCACCTTGTTTGTATCGATAACCTTTTCTTTGTCATCAAAATTGGCAACTGGTCCCAACCCATCGACCCTGTCTGCGTCAATCCTTCCAAGAAAATCGCCAGTGTATGCATCCCAGAGGCCCAGATTGCTGTGGCCGGCAGTCCACACAATTGATCCGCACGTAGACAATACAATCGACTTCACCTCCCCATGCGCCTTGTCGCCATGGTTTCTACGCAGTGTTCGGCTTGGTCCACTCGGCCCAGCTGCAAAAACAATCAGGGAGATCAAGCAAAAAGGCATATGCACTAGCAAACACCATACGCAACAACATGAAACCAAACATTGCGGCGTGGTCCAGGAAAATCTCATTTTACATCCAAGCCACACAACATTCTTTGGCGCCCGAACCTCTGCAACAAGGCTAAGCTTGCCAACCACGACAACATATCAGCAACGATGCACCCCCTACACTTAAACAGAAATGCAACCCTAAAGAGCGCTTCAAATCTTTCCATAAACAGGGGCCAAAGACAACATGGGTGCCTTGATGCAGATTTGGCAAAATCGGCAAATTACAAGGTGCAACACCACACTGAGGCCAAAAGGCTCTTTCTGATGGAAAAGCAGCACAGGCCAAGACAGATGCACCAGCGCAATAGTTTTCCTACTTCCGGATGTTGCTTGGCCCCACACCCTCAGGGATCCTCTCGATGATCCAGTCCAGAGCTGGCCCCACTGGGTTGCCACCATTGCAGACACACTCCCAGACTTGTGAGCCTTCCAGCTGGTGATGTGTGCACTCAGTTCTTGTGCCCTCCCATCCACATGCCACAGACTTACAGTTCCATTCTCATGACCTGCAACATGCCCCATGTCCAACAGTCACGCTGCGTCCCATTATGGTGTGGCCGTCTGAACAGCTTACTCGTGCTGCACCATTGCCAAAGCAACACACCAAGAATACACTGGTTGATGCACCCAAACCTCTCTTGCCCAGGCTGGAAAATGCCAAAACCCCAAAGAAACCAGTACAAGTTGCAATGCAGGTTACAAAGTAGCAACTGGAAAGTAGAACCCACTACAGATTGCCAACCCACCGTACCACCATGCTGGCAGTTACAGGCTCTGCACGCTGGCTGGTACATGAAAATGTCCAGGGTGAACAACAGTCAAGCTAAAGGCATTCATTTCTCAGCTGGCAACTCCCAAGTTGATCATGAGGTAGAGAGGCTCGCGTACGTCATGCCCCAAGAACAGATGAACATGGACTGTTTAGCCTGTAACTCTCAACACACAGCCTGCAGCAGCAACATCAAGCCCGAAGTGAAGTTTGTAGCAGAATCTCAAGATTTGCCCTTTGCATAGCATGATGATCGCACCGAGCCAAAGGAAGTCCGAAGTGCAGGTCAAAGCATGGCTTGTAACCTTGGTGTCCTTGTCAGATGATATTTCAACACATGCCGCACTGTCTAAATCTTCCGTTTGCTCCCTTGTTCACCACATAAGCAACCTTCAACGACTGGACTCATTTGTCGTAAGACCACATCAACCACACCACCCATTTCCTACAGCAGGCACTGGGCTTCTGTTCTGTTTCTGAAACTATGCAGATTTCTGAGCAACAGGAAACAAACAAACATTCTGGATCAAACTGTGAGGAAGGAATTGTGCCTGTCATGCTATTGAAGATGCCAGGGCTATCTTTCACCACACATTGCCATATACAAACAGAAAAGGGTGGACAAACCTCAAGGATGTCAGCAAACATCTCCTGGGTTCAGATGAACCTGAGACCTGTTGTTGCTTTACCTTTGACAGGGCACTCCACATGGTTGTTTTTGAACTGATGAACCACACTCAGAGTGAACCACACTCAGTGCATGCTGCTAAAATGTCAGTGTCCTCACCCACTATTCACAACTCAGTGAAACACTTTAACCCTGGGTGCGATGTTCTGCTGGCAACAAAATTTGAGCGCCTGAACCCTCAAAGAAAGAACCGAAAGAAGAGCAAGAAGATATGGCAAGACAAAGTGCAAGATGCCCAGCGCTCAGTGTACCATGGTGCCCACCTGCGAGCTTCCTTTAAATGGCCCAAACTGTCCCGGACCCCAACCCATTGTAGCATGCCCCCCGACAGTGAGGGATAGGCGATCAAGGAGTCCTTGACAGCAACAATCCTTGCCAGTTTTGCACTGTTTTTGGGGTGCAAGGTCGGCAAGCGAAGCTGTGGACACACAGTGCTGGGTCAGTCTTGCCATAGCAAAATGGTTGCAAATTGGGGTTCATGTGCCGCGCATCCATCCACAGGGGATGATCCTGATATGCAAGCACAATCAATCCAGAGGCATGCTCTTAAGAACTGTGTGATTGGCAATGCCATCATACAGATCTGCATCCCAAACATGCTGCATGCAAGCTTCTCAGTTGCTCAGACACTAACTACGCTTCTGCCAGCTTCCAAATGTAACAACAATGCTGAGCTGGAAGCTTGATGCTTCTGCTTTACAAGGTGGGAATTGCAACAGGAGCACTATGCCAGTGCCCCATAATGGAGACAACAGCCAGCTAAACGAGAGGCAGCACAACCAAACCAAGCTGTGCCATTGCCTTTAGGAGACCTCTTGGAGTCCATTGAGTGATTCAACAATTCCAAAATTTTACCAGGGTGACCCCACTGTGTCCCTCCACCAAATAGCCTCTCCCACCCATACATGCCATCATCGAGTCATAGGGTTGTCTACGTGTGTGGTTACAACTCTCTCATTCATATGCTTGGAAAGTTTTCTGCCTCCCTTTCTGCATGTATGGCCTTTTGCTGGACCCTCAATGACTGCACAAGTTGCCAGCCAATATCATGCACTGTACAAAACAGGCTTATAGTTCTCAATGGATTGCGTGGACTGAAGCACATGGCTTCTATCAACTCTACCCACAACCACATCCCATACCTCAACATGAACAATACAAGAGGAGCACGGAATGAATGTGTCTTTTGCGTTGACATCTTCGCCAAATTCCCCACTAACTTCTTCGCCAGCATCAGAGTTTCCATAGAACTGGGGTGCTGGCAGCACGCCACTGTCATCACCAGTATCAGAATGGGTGAAGAACTGTGCAGAGGCCTGTGTGTTGCTTGAAGGGCCCAACTCGGAAACAAGCCACAGAGGAGCTGCATGCCAGACCGACAGCAGCCAGTAAGATTGGGCCACAAGGCTGAAACATATGACAAGCACAAGAAAATTACAATCTGGTTGCTGCGCCAAAAGAGAGGGCAAGCTTTTGTATGCTGAATATGTGTCAGCAACGTGGTTAAAAGCGCTGTGGCTTTTCACAAACCTCTGTTTCGCAGTTGTGCTGCGAAAGTCAAGCTTCTTAGCACAAAGCAATTATCTCATACAATGGAGGTTCTCTTCCTGAACAAGAAGTTCTAATTTAGGCCGTTTCCTACACTGGACATGATGAGGCAGAAGACACCAAAGGCATTGGAAACAGCAACCCGGCAATACGGGCAGCAGGTATTGTGGGAGGTGCATGAGTGCACATCAATGCAGCCACAATTGGAGAAACCTACCAGGGACGCTGCTTGCACTGCTAATGGGCATGTCACTGCCAGAGAGAGACACTGGCGTTGATGGCGACGATGAAGGGGACGATTGCACTTCCAACATGTCTTCCTGTGACGGAATATTTAGTGGCGCAGGGGCGATCTTTGGGAACATCACCGGAGTGGGGACAGCAACTGCTGCAGAGGCACTATGGATGGTGAGCTCCTGGCCAGACTGAATCACAAACACAAGGAGGCATAAGTACACCTTTGAGTTCGCCAGTGTAACTACATGAAAGACACTTTCATGTGAGTTGTTGGATGAATAGTGCAGTTGTGTATGAGGCAGTGGCATCCTAGAGGAAGACAATGCTGCGTGTTGTATTGTCTCACAAGCACCGCTGAAATGTACTTCATCTGTCCGGAATCAACTGTCCTCTGTGACTTTGGCGTCCTACTTCTCCATCATAGAAACTTCATTTCTCAAAGAAATTTCTTCCAATGCTGTGCCTATGTTTTGGGAGTACACTGTCAAAATTTCAAGGCAATCTGTTGAACATTTGGCACCTCTTTGTAGCAAGGGTCCTCAGGCCAGAAACCCACCCGTTTTTCAACATTGCTGTTGCAATGGCCATTTTCGTTGTTTTGAGGAGCAAGCCTTCGCGGTAGCGCTACAGAGCCACCCATGCAAAACTATCCATGCCACTTGGACCAAAAATCGTGGAGGTGCTTGCAACAAAGTTGGGCAACAGAAAACGCATCATGAAGGCCCTGATCGTGGAAGTCGCCATTCTTGCGGCTGCAATTCAAGCTCGATTGGCCAAACCAGAGATGCCCATCAGGCCAGATTTCTGGGCCACGACTTATGGACGCCCAACGCCACTGCGAGGGATACCACAAGAGGCCTCCCAAGTCCGTTGCAGACGCCCAAGGAAGGTGGTAGCTATCACCCTATTCAGCAGCAGACAATCAGGGCAGTGGCCCTCCTGGGCGGGTATGTTGAATCGACCATTTTCGTCACTTGAAGGTTTTGAGCTTGAGAAGGCTGGCTAGATGGATAAAGCTGTGTCTCTCAAAGGGAAGCACCCTCGCAATGCTGCGATGGATTGCAGACCACACCCAAGAGTTGGCAGTTGGTGGTAGTTTGCCGGGTGTGGGCTCGGCTGCCCACAAAAAGCATCGATTCAAGCCCATATCGAGGTAGCTTGTCCAAGCAAGTCTGCTGCGTAACCTTGAACTGGCAGCTCGCACAGAGCCCAAGCTTTAACACCTTGGACCCTAGCCTTGCCCACTTGCTTTAGGTCCCTACGTCGAAAATCGAGGATGGCCAAGATTTCGGAAATCGACAACATTGTGACGATGGCCTTCGACGACGGGGATCCAAACACTGTCGAGTGTGTTTGGCAAGTGCTATTCCATGTGAAGGATGCCGCCCTTCACCACGATGGCACCAACGACTTGTTTATGGCACACCTGAGACAGGAGTGAACCAGAAACGTGTGTGTCTCCAGCAAATGTGGAATCAGCATGCACATTTCCTGAAGGAATTTCGGCCAATTTCAGGGCCATCCATTGGTTGTGACTAGCTTTATTTTCTTGAAAATCGGTAGCTAAGGGTTTAGGGACCCAGCCCTTCAGATTTTGATCTTCTTTTGCAAGTTTAACGTCTTTCTTGTAACGAATTTCGTCTCTCCAATAGAGGACAATTAATTCCGGAAAGAGGAAGGAAGTATAAGGCCAGTGCTTTGTCATGGTTGCTACAAATTGAAATCTTTCCGAAGGTGCACTGTCCAAGCCAGGTTATTGAACACAATTCAGACCACAGCTAATGGCCGAAGCAACAGACGTGCCTCAAATTGGTAGCGTTTTGCACAAGCTGGAAGCGCTACCAACAGTCTGACAGCTTCAGATCATAATCGTTGCGAAACTATAAAATGGCCCCCAACGTGTATATTGACAGTGGCAGCGATCAAAGCGATGGGAACCACAAAAGCAACTTGCAGATGCAGACATGTTGGACATGGTGTGCAAGGTGCAGGGGCGCTCTTGCAAGGAAAAGGCAAAATGCGATCAGCACGGATTTCCATATCACGGAGAACAAATGCTAGCTCAGTGGCTGTGCCCACAGGGCAACCATGCTTGGTACAAAATGTTGTGCCAGCTAGTGTACAATGCAACGTTTGCAGTTCCTTTCTCGAAATCCATTGTTAACCAATTCAACATGACAACAGTAACTGTGCTGGCAGAGCTATGCAGTGCTCACCTGCAGCAGGGCCACAATCTTCAGAGCACAGTCAAACTGTTGACGTGTCATGCCTTCACTGAAAGGGGGCACAGACCTGTCCCAGACCTGCTCCAACCGCCACAACCCCCATGTTCAAAGCACAAGCCATGTCAAAACAACTGAAACAGATGAGGAAGTGTCGACCAGTATTGTGTTGTTCATGGACAGCGTGAAGCCATCCCCCCAATGGCCTGGGGATGAGAATGCTACTCGGTGAGTCCATTTGGCTGCCAGAAGATTCTGCGGCATTTTCACTGCTTCTGCCACTATTAGAAATGGCAGTATTGGCAACAGAATATTGTGTCAAATGGCATCCCTGCTGCCTTTTGACATATTTCTTGGTCAGCTTGCAGTGACAGGTGATAGCAGACCTGCCAGGCAATTGCGTCAAAATGCATATACCCACAGTGACAGTCAGTGTCCAAGGTGCCCAACATGAGCTTAACCGTGCATGTCATTTTCAAAGACTTGCGATGCACTAGCTCTGCTGCAAAAGGGAGTAGAACCAGCAAGTCCTCCAGCCATGAGAACAGGGGGACAGCCAATACAATGGCTTGTTCGCTGCAGAGGGTCACTGCCTGTTGTCATCAATACTCAGCATGGGCATCACAGCATCCAACAGTACTACCGAATAGAATTACATTACCAACAACATTCCTAACATAGCATTCACACCAGGTCTGATGTGCTAACAACAGGCACTTAAGGACTGCAGGCATTGCCAGCAATGATGCACAAAATATAAGACAATGCCAGCAATGTCACCCATGGACAATAGACACAGTGCCCCATGCTGGGTTATACACCAAAGAATGGCTCCAGCAAAAGTGGCAGGACTCCTTGACTGCCTCCAGCCATACCTTGGCAAGGCTGCTATCATCTAACCCTGTTCTCCGAAAAAAATTAACTGCTGCTGCTCCTTTCACCCTGCAGAAAATCAAAAAGTAGAACGTGAGTTATCGCATCTCGTGGCATGCCACATGCACAAACCGAGCCTCAATAAAAACAGATCGCAAAATAGCATGGTGGGTCAAGGTGTCACAATTGTTTGCTCAACGTAGATTATAATCTTCCAGGCCTCTTCACTGGACATTCCTGCAAATAAGGCAAGATATGCCAATTCAGTATGGTTGAGCAAGCAGAACAAAATAGAGTGCCTGTGCTAGGCATAACAGTACCACAAGGCACACGGCCAGTATGGAGCTGCCAATGTTGAAGAATGTGCTGCCCACTGCTACACTTCAATTTATTCCCACCCAGCAGATCGTTCTTTCTGTGTATGAATATGTATGGGTGTTAGATGAGATCATCTTAGAATCACAAGAAATACCCATTCCGTGCAAACCCATTCATGCATGCAGCCTACGTTTTCTTCAGTTCATGAAAACGTTCATGAGCTTCATCAAGTACACCCAACTCATCCAGAAATCCAATTCAGTTCTTGGTGTGTAGGCATGGCTAACACTGTTTTCACAGCACCTGTCCTGCGCCAATCAACTTGTCGTGTTTCCTGCCGGCCAGCCATGCTGTGCTTTGCAGGCTCCTTGGAGTGCACTGAAACTGAGGATGCTTGGCGGTTCCCACCAGCAACATGTGAACAGCACATGCCTGCTGTTGTTGTGAACAGCTGAGGCTATCGGTAATTTGGGTGGGTTGGACAGACACCACGACAGCAGGGTCCAAGAGACCACAACAATGAATTTTTGAAAACCTCCCAAGAAGTCTCTGCACCTGTTTAGTGAGACAACGCTACAGGAGTTCTTAGCAAATTTGTTTCACTCCCTGAGATGGCAATAAAGCTGTTGTGAACTCCAATCTTTAGCAACAGATTGCTGAACAGCTGATGCCATGCCGCCATTTGACTTGAGGCACCATATTCGATGTCAGTGGCCTTGCTGTCCACAGCAGCAAATAGCAACAGCATTCCCGTTTTGATATTCCTGCCAGGTTGATTCGGGCTTTACAAGGCCACCACCTTTCTTGTCAACAAGTTGTGACAGACAATATTCCGTTGTGCTCTGCACAATCCGTGCAGAAGTTGCCACCCCAAAATAGGAAGGCCCACAAACGTGCTTCCTGTCCTACCAGCCGTCCTTGTCTGCTGCCTCCTTGAACCAGGAGTCCACAGCCTCCTTCCAAAACGAGATCTGCGCCTGTGATGTGCCCCCTTCAAAAGGGCTTGGTATGTGGAAGGTCTGGGATGACGCCTGCGACCAGCAGGCGCGATGAAGCTTCTCAGACCCATAAAGGCAACCGCAAACACCAAACGGGCTGCACTGCCGGGCAGCACTACACGCCACAGGCGATGCATATTGGGTGCAGAATGTCCCTGTGGCTGGTTCCGATTATCCAACCAGGAAATATCCTCCCGGAAGGGGAAGAAGCACGGCTGCCTCGCGGCCCGACGGCAAAGGGACAGCCGTCCCCGGTGCCCCCACTGGCAGTGTCCAGGTGGCTGGGGGAATGTGCGTGGGATCCGCGTCACACACTGGAATGGGCAGTCCACAAACGTCCACCACCGTCCCCAAACGTCCTCGGCTGCGGCGCGCACCACGCTGGGACAGCCACCACCAAGACCGCCAAATCAGCGGCCCGCGATCGGCGCCGACGCCTTTCCGGCCTCCCGGCCAGATCAGCGACCGTCACCTGCTTGCTCTCCGTCCAGGCCGGCGCCCCCGTCCGCGTCTCCCTCCTCGACGCGCCAGGCTGCGCACCCGCCCTCCGCCCGGACTCCCTGGCCCCGGCCATGGGCTCGCTCCTCCCGAAGCCCCGGGACCCCCTCTGCCTTATCTCCCTGGGCGCCAGCTCCTGCATCCACTCCACATGCTCACAGTCACTCCCCTGCCCGGCACACACCCAGCCCATTTCCCCCATGTCCGCCAAATCTCCTCAAAGATGCGCAAAAGCGGGATCACGCCTCGATGCAACAATCTCACCCATGTCCGCTTTCCCCCCTCCCCCTCAGGGGGATAACGCAATTCGCCCTGCCCCACCTCGAACGACGGCGGCTTGACCAGCGGTCCGGCCAGCCCAGTGCGCCTCCACGCCGCCGGCGCGGAACCCCCAGGCGTCGGCGCGGACCGCTGCGCCAAGTGGCCGCCCTCCAGCCCGCCGGCTGACCCATGGCGCTGGCCGCAGTGCCCGCCCCGGGCCCCGCCGCCCTGGCCCGACCCGCGCCTGGGCTCGCTGCCGGACCTCCACCAGTCGCGCTTGTCGCCGCTCATCTCCGGGAGCGAGCATCCATCCCGTGCGCTGATTGGCTGAGTTGCGAAGGCGGTGGCCAAACGTCCCGCGCGGGCGATGAGCCCAGTGGAGCGTCCCACGGGGGTGGACGGGGCACAGTGGCGGAAGTGTGTGCGTGTGTGTGTTCGGCGCCGTCCTTAGCAGGCCGCGGGTGCTGCCCGAGGTGGCGCCGGGCGAGCTGGACCCTCCTCGGTGTGTGGAAAGGTGCCCGTTGTGCCAGTCGTCAGAGCGCCAGCGGGCGGATGGGGGAGTGGGGGGCATTTTGATGGGTGCTGGCCGGGAAGCGCAGTGGATTGCCTGCGGCGCTTCCTGGGCAAAGTACGCACAGACGCTGTACAGGGAAGGCGGGTCCAGGGCCGCACATTTCCTGAGTCATGCATTCGGGGGGCTGCGGGACGGACATCCGGGGTGGGGTGGGGTTTGGGACGCGTCCCAGAGTGGTTGTCTGTTTTACCCAAGGCCCAAGGGCGACAGCATTCTTGCAGGGTTGTCGCGCAATCTTGCCGATGACCCTCGGAGCAGGCCGCTGGGAGCCTCGCTCGAAGGTTCACCGAGCCTCGTAAGATCTCCATTTCCCTTGTGTGAGTGTGACCCTGTGCTCCGTCGCGTGCGTAAATCAATCCACTGCTGTCCGAATGGACGCGTCCTGTCGCGAGACAACAGCGCCCATAGCTCGGTTTAAAGGGGCTTGGGCTGGTGATTAGCAGGGCGAGAAGTTGAAGTATTTCCACATTCCTCATTCGCTCAGCTGATCAAGTGGTCTGTGGAGTCATGTTGGTGGTTGTTAATTTCGTTGTTGGTTAATATCCCCGTTCTGGCACAAGGGGTTTGGTTTGCGACACAACTGAGAAATGTCAACTGACTGAGTGACTCTACAACATATGTGAGGGCAACAATCAGCGTTTCAAAAGTATTACTAATAGATGGGCGTCAAGCCCCGTGTTGGTGAAACACGATAGCTTATGGGTCAGGCGAGAGCTGCACTTAATGAGTTTGAGAATGTTTGTATGTGGGCTTAAGCACTGCGGGGACCTTGGGACAAATGACAATGCGGATGGAATACAAACATTCGAACACAAAGTTGGCGGGCATGCCAGAATTGGGGATGACTCACCAATTTCTGGCTTGACCCTTGGGATTCCCGGGCGGGTACCTATAAATACGAGTGCACCCCGCCCATTTTGTAACCGTGAGTTTTCCCGTTCCTTGGGTCCTGAATTGGACCAACGGGCCTGGAGTTGCCGCCAAGGCTCCGCGCCCCTTACAACTGGTTTCGGAGCCAGTTGGAGCTGCCGAGGATAGGAAGGCGCTCCAAGTTGACCTGACCCATGACCAGAGGCGGCAGGGCATCAAGGGCGTGAGCAGAGCAGATTACACTCGAGGGGTAGCGCGGCGGGACGTCACGAAGTCGTCAACTGCGTGGTTGAGCGTACCAAGGACGTCAGCGACAAGGCCTGCCCCGAGGGCACCCGTTTAAAGTTCCGTTGTGCGCCAGAGTGCGGCAGCGAAGAGGCCGCCCCGAGGGCGTTGAAGATTGGACGTCCTGAGGACGACGATCATGTGGCCTGCCCCGAGGGTGTTCCGTAGAAGGTTTCAGAAGGCAAGAAACTACAGTACTGAAGATCGAAGGGTAATTGTGACATGGCTGCTTAAGGTTTAGGTTTATTTGACATTTCTGGAGTGGGAATTATATAATTGGGTAAATGTACCTTTTGGGAGTGTTATTTAGAGCTTCTTGGTTCCAACGTGCTTTTAAACGCCCAATTCCGTTCAGAATTGACGAAGATATGGCCTCCTGAAGTTGTGGTACTTAGGGCCAGGGGTTCGGGTGTTAGACGCTTGGAATTAGAGAACAATGGGTCGATCGTAGGTGAACGGTGGACGGTGACGATGTGCCTGGACGCGCACTGTGTTGTCTTGTCTTGATGTGACCATGATAGACCCACGATCGGGCATCGCGCATGCGATATGTGCGCGCGCATGCAGTGAATCCATATAACCGTTCTGGCCCACTGCCTGGTCTCTCCGCGAGCCAGCGAGCCACCGTTTGGCTGCGCCACCACCCGCCACATACAGCAGGCCCCGGGGGACGATCCCCATCGTTCTGGGCCCACTGCGCATCCGAGGGAACGAGCGCCCCGCTACCGCCCACCAAATTCGGTGGAGAGGGCCGGCTGACCTCCAACAGCCGAGCCGCAGGGCGTGGCGACCCCACGAGCTTCGGAAACCAGCAGCGCCCTTCAGGGCCGCAATAGTAAAGGCACGGCTGGACGTCAAGCAGACATCAGCTACGCGGGCTACCAAGGGACAAAAGTGGGAATACGAGGGCAGCTTGAGGGCGGTAGACCTCTGCGGCAATTTGGAGAACTGCGTGGTTGCCGCATCCCAATAGGGTAAGGCCATCGTATGCAAGTGGCAAGGATCGAAGTGCACTGAGAAAAATGGCCATCGAAATGGGTGAGACGAGCCACAAAAAATGGCAAGAAAAAGAAGAAGCGGTGAAGAGTGAAATGCTGCAATGGCATGGAAGGCAAGCGCGGTGGTGGAGCGTGGTTCATGAAATGGACCTGTACAAGGAACCACGGAGTTGGAAGGAATATAACAAGGTAGTAACGGACTACAAACAATGGGAAGAAGTGCATAGAACAAGCGATAAAACCGGCAGCTGCAGCCCCACAACAACCAATGAGATAAACGGAATACGACAACAACAAGTGAGTCTACTGCGCTTCAAGGGGACGCTAGGCGGAAAGAAGATGTTGGTCTTGATCGACAGTGGAGTCACTGGAAATTTCATCAGTCAAGACTTTTGTGAAAAGAATGGCATCCGCTGGAAAGAAATAGGTAAAACGCAAACGTTGCATATGGCGGATGGGTCAGTATGACAAGAGTCGGAACGAGAGGTCAAGATTTATAAGCTGCGCATCAACGAGTTCAAGTGCCAGCCCACGTTCCAAGTCACAAAGTTGGGACGACACGACGTCATCTTGGGAGTGCCATGGCTACGAAGGTTCAACCCCCAAATCAAGTGGGAAATCAACACGATATAGATCAAGAGCAACGACCGAATAAGGACTCTCTACGGAATCAGAAAGACCGATGAAGATACGCGGAGGATTAACGCAATTACACTATCTGGTAAAGGCCTGACCCAAGCACTCAAGAAAGGAGTGGAGACTTATGTGGCGGTGGTGCGGAGCATGCAGCAAGAGACAACAACTAAAGAGAAGTCAGACAACCTAGTTAGAGATATGTTATTACAAGAATTTCCAGAAGTCATGAGTGACAAGATACTGTTGGGACTTCCGCCAAAAGGGAGGCCAGAACACAGCATTGAGTTGCTACCCGACGCCAAGCCAGCCCATACACCCGCATACTGACTCTCCCCCAAGGAGAATGACGAATTAAAGAGACAAATTGAAGAGCTACTGGACGCCGGGCTGATCCGACCAAGCAGTTCACCGTGGGGTGCACCGGTGTTGTTTTCCAAGAAAAAAGATAGCGGGTTACGAATGTGCATCAACTATAGAGCACTGAACAAGCGAAGTGTCAGGGACATATATCCCCTGCCCCGAATTGACGACCTGATGGCCACACTTGCGGGGGCAACTATCTTCAACAAGATGGACCTACGGTCTGGCTATCACCAGATACGGATAAAGGAAGAAGACATCCCTAAGACTGCGTTCGTCACGCGTCATGGAAGCTATGAGTTCCTGGTAATGCCGTTTGGATTATGCAACGCTCCAAGCTCCTTTCAACGCTACATAAATCAGGTCTTCGGTGACGTTGCAGATGCCTTCCTGGTCATCTACTTGGATGATATACTCGTGTTCAGTAAAAACATAGAGGAGCATCTCAAGCATCTACGGCTGGTCATGAGAAGGCTACGAGATCATGGATTGGTGGTGAGACCACACAAGTGCAACTTTGCCTGTGACGAAATAGAGTTTCTGGGAGTAGTGGTCGGGAAGGGTGGTGCCCGGCCAGACAACACCAAGATTCAGTTGGTGCAAGAGTGGCCGACACCAGGAACGTCTATCACGTCAGAGCCTTCCTTGGATTAGCAAACTTCTACCAACGATTCGTGGCAAAGTTTGCTTTTGTGGCCAGGCTGATGACAGACCTCACCAAGCTGCGTGAGCCGTTCATTTGGGGAGAAGCACAAGAAATAGCATTTCAAACTTTGAAGGACAGATTGACCCCAAGCCCCATTGCTACTTCTGCCAAATGACGAATTACCATTTGTCGTCATGACCGACGCAAGCAACTATGCCACGGGGGCAGTTTTGATGCAAGACCAAGGAGGAGGACTACAACCGGTCGAGTACTTATCACGACGACTCGGGCGGGCCGAGATGCGCTACCACACCTACGACAAGGAAATGTTGGCCGTCATTCATGTGTTAAGGAGCTGGCGGCACCTTTTGGAGGGGCGACAATTTTATTTGCACACCGACCATCAGACGATAAGATATATACAAACACAGAAGAATCTATCCCAACATCAGGCACGGTGGAGCGAATTTCTACAATACTACGACTTTGAAATATGCTATTGGAAGGGAAGCTGCAACGGAGCTGCTAACGCCCTATCATGACGACCAGGTCCAGAGGGTGTCAGTGACGACTCTGATGGAATAGACGTCAGTCAAGAAGCCAACATACTCACTAGGAGCACATCAACGGTATGGTATGACACGAGACACCAAGACTTCCTGCGTTAGTACGCATCTGCATTGCATGAAGATCCGGACCTGGCTACAGCTCGAACGGAGGCGAGGCAAGAAAACGGGATTCATAAGTTTGCGAACCGTCTCTTATGGAGGAAGCAGAGAGATGGACAATGGAAAGTAGTGGTGCCGAATAGCACAGAACTGAGGACCATGCTACCCCGAAAAGCCCATGATGCATTCGCGGCTGGATATTTGGGAAGAGCAAGAACCATAGAGCGACTCGATCGACACTTCACCTGGTCGGG